AATAACCAAGTTAACTATTAAACAAAGAGTATGGTCCAATGCACACCCTCTTCTAAGGTCAAATCTTAATTTCACCCCACTCACGTTTGTTAGCAAGTAATGCCCTCCAAAATGGATGCAGGCCTATAAAATCCAGAGTTGCATAAGGGATTTGTGGCTGGAAGGGCCATATTAATTGAGTATAACTTAACAGTCTCACTAATAATGTAACTACATCTGCAATCAGGATTATAAAAAATGAAAACATCTACATAATATAAATATTTCATCTTTTATTTTAAAAGCATGCTCACAATTAGTACAAAAAAATCCCTTACAATAGGTGATGATAACTACAAATGCATCCCAATTATACAAAAAGAAAACAGATGCAAAATAGTTTTCAAAGATTTTCCTGCCTAAAATCACAAGCCTAAGTGGGAATATAATTTTTAAATCCATTTATTGCTTTTTCATCCTTTTGGCTGAACTTTATTCATTTAAGGTCTGCTGTTTCTTCTTATATCCCCTTTCATAAAAGGCATCAGTCTCTAGCCATCTACTCCAAACCTCACCAGCCCCTATACTTCATAGACAGCAAGTGTTAAAACAGCTTCCTAAAGTTCTGTGGAATTGACCTCCTTTAGAGTTCCCTTTTGCAAGTCCATTTCTTTACAAGTTTGCCATGTGAGATTTTAATTGGTCTTCTGCAGTTTTCTCTTCTTCCGTCCACGGTGACAACTAGAAAAGGAAATGACAAAAACGTTTAAAGGTTAGTAAGTTCATTTAATTTACTTTGGCCTACTAACAAATGCTTCCATAAGCCTATACTATGTATTGATCACACATTTGGAAAGGTAGGTTGAAAACATTTGTCTATCTGCACAAGGTACTGTAAAGTTCGAGCTTCCAAGGAAGTTTACGTTAAAGAAACAAGACCAAGTTAAATATTGTAAGGACTCTATGTAACTTGCTAAGAAATCATGTTTGAATGCCACATTCTAAAAGTATTGTGAACACCAAGAGATATTGGGAACAAAAATAGTCTGGAAGTTTTCCCAGAGAAGTAGAGAGTTAGGCTAAATATTAAGATGCTTTCAGCTACAAGTAATAGAAATCCATTTCAAATTGGCTTGAAGAAAGTTTACTACATCCCAGGCCTGTCTGGATAGGACAGGCTGGATGAACAATCTGGAGGAGAAAACAA